TGGGGAATTCTGGGAGTTGAAGTCCACACATCTTAAAGTTGCCAAGGTTGAAAAACCCTGCCCCAGAGCATTAAATCATGAAAGCAAATATTAAATACCTTCTTGTTCTGTTTTAAAAAATAATATCCCAAGGAAAGTTTCTTGTAGGCTTCTCCGTATCTTTCATGCCATTCTTGTACAGATTTAATGGCAGCTTTTTTAAGTTTCTGGGCCACATCGCTTGGTGGGGGAAGAGGCTGATCGTAGTTTGTTTCCACGGTCAGTTCCAAGAATTCTTGGAAGTTTGAAATAAGCAAAGTTCTAAACAGATGTGACCGAGTGAAGAGTTCATCCATGATCTGAAACGCTGAAAGACGTATCTCGGCATGTTCTTGATTTAACTGGGACATTAGCAGGTGGTAAACATGGTTAATATGTTCATCAGAACACCTATAGTGGGATAAGCATGATATTAAATGATATGGTCTCATTGGAAGGACACAATATTGTGCGCGAACAGGATTGTCCACAAAGTGCATAAAAATCAAGTGGCGCTTCAACTGCAGCAACGCAGCCACCATCTTGATGCTTTCGACTACACCTTGCGGACACCCTTGCGTGCAAAGAAACTAATTCAAGCAGTTTTTAATTCCAGAATCTAATTCTTTCGCTCCGTGCACTAATTAAAGTCTTGTCCTTTCGCAAAATCTTTAAGGCTGCAATCCTTTGCACATCTAATACAGTCCGAACTTCAGGCGTAGCCACCGATTCCACGGATGTGCCTATAGTTTCTCAGGTGCTCCTTCTTGCGGGATTGTTTGGGTCCCCATCTATCGCATTTTCTGGTGGTCTCTCATCCAAATACCAACCAGACCCGACTGTGGTTCATTTTTTTTAGATCAGTCAGGATTAGCCCACCTAACCTAACCGGGCTGGGCGCACACAGATCCAAGCAAATTCTACTTAGGACAATTAAGATTGCTCCCGAACCACCACACCTGATCCCCTACCTAAAAATTGTGCAGATGCTGAAAAGTGCGATGTACTGATGCTTTCTTGGGCTCTTGCCTAAGGAAACGGCGTCTCCCGTACGCCTACCTGCAGATGTTCTTCAGCGCTTTCATCTTCTTCGGATCCAGCTGCGGCTCCCCAGAAGTCGTCAAGTCCCCCCCCAGCTGCGCCAGCTGCCGGTCCATCCCTAGGGCAAAACCAGCCTCGCTTACCGCGGCCACCGAGAACAGCCCG